TGTTTATACAATAAAATGGGCATAGTTTTGGCGTCACTTGAAATTGACGCAGCACTTCGTCTATCTATCTTTCCTAGTCTGAGTCAAACATCAAATGGGTTATTTGAGGGTGTGTTTTAATGCATGTCTTACAGGATATGAAATTCTTTCAACTGGGTCAGCACTCTTGGTACAATTTACGGCCAATTCAAATACTCCCGGACAAGGATTTAAAGCAAGATATCAGTTTCAAATGGAAGACAATACAAGTGCAGGTTTAGTAAGCTTCTTATTCACGGTTTCCATATTTTAGTTGTAATTAAGGGTGAAAATAATACGTCCATATATTGTAGAAGTACAGTAATTACTATAGCGAAAAGAATAAAACTTCGCCTTTTTTATTTTTTATCAATATTGGTAATTAAAATACACACACACACACACACACACACACACACACACACACACACACACACACACACACACACACACACACACACACACACACTCACACACAAATCCAGCGATGTTTTCACTCCAGAGGATTTACTGGATCTTAAGTTTTTTTTTATCTTTATAATATACTATCTCGGTACATTATTTACTCACCCAATAAAATTATGTCCTAAATGACCATTAGGTACCTATCAAGTTCCTAATATTCATATTTAATTAAATTTATTATGTTACTTTAAATTAAAACATTACAACGTAGGTAACCTAAGCCTTTATGGATTCTCATTTTGTGTAACCGGATAACGGTTTGTGCGAAATGTTACAAACTGTAATTTCTAAAGTTGTTATTTAACACTGTTGTGCTTTTAAGCTTTCACTTACGTTCGCTTATTTCTTTTTTATGAACCTGTAAAAGCCTACTGATGAAATTGCACCTTTCCCAATATAGGAATATATTGTGGTAATCGCCATTCATGGCAGGCAAATTAGCAACGTTGCTCATTCAGTCCTTTAGTATAATATTAATTAACTTGAATTTTAACATAAATTAGTCTTACTGGAGAATTGTAATTATGGGAAAATTTGGCAATAATTTTTTATACACAATTGTAAATTATTTTGAAATAGTATATAAAATAAACGTTACATTTAACGTTTATTTTATCCGTACATTTTTTATCCACATTGTGATTTTTTAGTTACATATTGTATACAAGTTAACTGTGCTTATATTTTGGTTATGATTAAGTAAATAAATAAATGTTCTAGAAGCCGATACGTTAAAAAAGGGTACAGCTGAACCGGTGTCTTCATTCGGGCCTGCAGTAAGCGCTGCAAGTGAGTTTATTTTCTCAATTTTCACGTTTGTATTTTTTTGTAAAAAAGTGTGTATATTATGTAAGAATATTTTATATTCAACTTTAGTACATGGATATAATAATTATCAATTTAATTAGTCATTGTTCTCACACCGAGCCCTCATCAGCCTGAATTTGTAATACAAATTTACGATAAACATAATCTCAGTTGAAGATCGAGTATTTTTGCAGTCGCAGTGGACGTTAATTTGTTACTTAAGAGCAATTGACGTTATTTTCACTAGTATCTAGTATAGGTAGCAGTAGTTTTGTTTCCGTTGTTTCATTTCATTCAATTCGAGTCAGCCGTTTTCGAGAAAATGTTAAACACTGAACATACATAAAAATACATATGCATCGAATAGAGAATCTCCTATATTTTATGAATTAGTTAAATAATGAAAAGTCAGTATAAGTAAATAAGTTTATCAGTGTCAAATACCAGCAGCACCTTATGACAGCTTTGGTAGAAAATAACTTTTTTGTTAAGATAAAAATCGATATTGGTCCAATCGCTCCAAGCCGCCGTTTTTGGCACTATAGGTCAGCTGATTGGGACGGGATATGGTCTTTTTTTGCATCCTACCCTTGGTGGCGGGTTTGCTTCTCGCCGGAAGGTCCCAGCGTTGTTGCTGATTCTGTTGCTGATGTGGTACTTCAGGGTTTGGAACTTTTTATTCCATCCTCTGTGGTGCCCATCGCAGGCAGATCCCAGCCATGATTTGGTCGCTCCTGTAAAATAGCATCACGCTATAAGCAGGAGTACTACCGGGCCTGGGCTGACGCATCAACGTCTCGTGATGTAAACACCAGCGCTCTTAAAAATAAGTATAATTCCGCCTCCAGGTCCTTCAAAATTGTCATTGCGAAGGCAAGGTCTGAGGAAATCGGCAGAATTGGCGAGAAGCTAGTTTGCCTTCCTTCGGGAACCCGTGCATTCTGGTCTCTCGCCAAGGCTGTCCAAGGGAACTTCTGTAAGCGATCTCTTCCATCTCTGCACAAAGAGCACGACTCACTGGCCCATGCCGCAAAGGGGAAAGCCGATCTGTTGAGCTCTCTTTTTGCGTCCAACTCGACTCTAGATGACGGGGGGGAACACACCGCCGACCATCCCGCGATGCGAGTGCTCCATGAAGGATGTGCGGTTTACACAGCGCTCGGTTCGCAAAGCACTCTTCTCCCTGGGCGTCAGCAAGTCGAGTGGGCCCGATGAAGTCCCTCCCATTGTGCTGAAGGCGTGTGCTCCGGAGTTGGCACCAGTTTTAACGCGTCTTTTCCAGTACTCCTACTCCCAAGGCGTAGTCCCGAATTCATGGAAGACAGCTTTGGTCCACCCGATCCCTAAAAAAGGCGACCGCCAAGACCCGTCCAAGTACAGGCCTGTTGCCATCAACTCCTTGTTCTCCAAAATAATGGAATCCATCATAAACTGCCAGATCCTGAGGTACCTTGAGGATCACCAGCTGATTAGTGACCGCCAGTACGGTTTTCGTCGAGGTCGATTAGCTGGTGATCTTCTAGTCTATCTGACTCAAAGATGGGCGGAGGCAGTAGAGTCCAAGGGGGAGGCATTAGCCGTTAGTTTGGACTTAGTGAAGGCCTTCGATCGGGTCTGGCACAAAGCGTTTCATTCGAAGCTTCCTTCTTATGGGCTTCCCGAGAAATTGTGCAAATGGATCACAAGTTTCCTTGCATATCGAAGCATCAAGGTCGTAGTAGACGGTGCTTGCTCTGATTTCAAGCCTATCAACGCTGGTGTTCCACAAGGCTGCGTGCTATCACCAACGCTGTTTCTCCTTCATATCAATGATATGTTACTAACTGGTAGCATTCATTGCTATGCAGACGACAGCACTGGTGATACCTTATATACCGGCCCTGCCAATATTTCTCGTAAAAACGTCGCTGAGTACCGGGACAAACTTGTGTCTGAAGTCGAGTCTTTGCTTAACAAATTCTCGGATTGGGGGCGACTAAATCTAGTCCAGTTCAATCCCCAGAAGACACAAGTTTGCGCGTTTACCGCTAAAAAGAACCCCTTTGTCGTATCTCCTCAGTTTCAAGGCACTCCCCTTGCTGCCTCAGATAGTATCGGAATCCTTGGCGTCGACATATCGAATAATGTGCAATTTCGTGGTCACTTGAAAGGGAAGGCCAAATTGGCCTCTAAAAAGCTTGGCGTGCTCAGCAGAGCGAGACAGTATTTCATGCCGGCACATCGCTTGCAACTTTACAAAGCGCAAGTTCGGCCCCACATGGAATATTGTTCTCATCTCTGGGCCGGAACACCCCAGTGCCAGCTCCTTCCACTTGACCGCATCCAGCGCAGAGCGAGTTCAAGCGAGAGACGACCGAGTTCTTTCTGATCGGCTCGATACACTGGCACTGCGTAGAGATGTTGCATCTCTTTGCGTATTCTATCGCATCTATCACGGGGAGTGCTCTGAGGAATTGTTCGGATTAATTCCAGCCGCTCAATTTCACCATCGCACATCGCGACATAAGTCGCGTTACCATCCATACCATCTGGATGATTGGCGGTACACCACTGTGCGATTTAGAAGAAGTTTTCTCCCTCGCACAACTTCGTTGTGGAATCAATTACCACCAGCGAATTTTCCGGACCGATACGACTTAGGAACCTTCAAGAAAAGAGCTTACACCTTTATAAAAGGCCGGCAACGCATCTGCAATTCCCCTGGTGTTGCGGTTGTTCATGGGCGACGGTAGTCACTTATCATCAGGTGAGCCGCATGCTCGTTTGCCCCCTCTTCTATAAAAAAATATCGAACTAGTCTTATATCAGCTTTTTCTGATGCTTCAATTGCCATAATGCATGAATATTTTGAATCTGGCCCTCAAGGTACTTACGTATATGTAAGTACCTTGAGGGCATATTCAATATTCGCCTCTTACGACACAACAAATTGAAGCTGTGGATTTATTCTGTTACGCCACCCGAAAATTATATAATACAATGTTTATTTTTTTAGTATAGTATTTGTTCTCTTTCTTAATATTTAACTCATATTTATTTAGTAAATTGTTGACCTCAAATTTAAGTATGTGAGTAACTAATTGAAAATTTCATTTAATTGTTTCTATATTGAAAGTGCCCCGATAATAGTGCACATAATATTTGTTAAAATGTATATACTATTAGCTTAAATGACAAGTTTTACTGAAATTTGAAATAGATATATTTTATTTTATAGCGGTATAGCTAAGCTAACGTAAGATGGCGGGAGCAGCCACAAATTATCTTTAACTTTTCTTTTAATTACCTTTTTAACTGTGTTAGTCTCAAAATTTGTAATTACCTTTTTTTATTTATTTGAGAACTTTTAATAAATAAAATGGCTCCACAATAGAAACTAAGATATATTAAGTATTACAAATCAATAAAGAAATACGAATAAATACTAAATCAATAATATAACATTTTATTACTAGCTGATTAATTGGTCACTTCGACTTTGAAATATGCAAACCTGATAGATAATAGAATAACAGAACATTTTTTCAGCTTCGTCCTGTCATCAAGTGTTTAGTAGTGATAAGAACAAACATGGAACATTAACCTCACCCATGTTTCCTCTGCCGTATTCACAAAAAACACAATGTCACTATGATTTTTTGGGACGAGGCCGTGAAAGAGTGAGATTAGTTTTTGAAGATTTTAGCTTGCAAAGAATCACAGGAAACATAATGGAGTAAGTTTGAATCCCAATTCAAGTACTAAGAATTTTTACATGGTAGAGCTACGTTTTATGGTTGCAACACAAATGGGTAGGTTTGACCGGGAAAGAAACTCACTTTTTCAAAATACTGACGTGAAATTGAAGTTTAATGCTCCTGTGTTTCTTGTGGTGAGTGTAGAGAATCGGAGACCCTTCTTACTGGTAAAAAGGTATTTTATCTTAGTCAATATGGGTGGCAACGCACATTCATGTTTAGGGGATGGCTTTAGGTATCTATGAGCGTCAGCACCCACTTATCATCAAGTGGACTGAGCGCACAGTTATCACTATTTTCTATATAAAAAACGAAAGTATCGTTTCACTCGACTAAAGGAAATCTAATTTACGTAGTGATTATATTTTCTTGCTCTCCTGTTTAACAGGGTGCGTGATCTTTAAAAATATGCGTTTTTGCATTCTTAAAACGTATATATTATGCAGCATCAGATGTAAAAATCTATTTTTTTATTGGACGGAAAGAACCATTACTATAACAAATGTTGAAAGAGACACGAAATTTAAAGTCCGTTGGTTACACTATTATAAATTTTAAATAAGGTCGGGACGGAGGAAACCCGCTTGCTTAAAAATCGATTGGTGGACTTACAAATCACTACTGAAGCAGCGTGACGAAGACAAACTCAGCTCGCTTTCAGAATTCGGATAATTTTTTTGTAATTTGGGGACTGCTCAATAGAGATAGTTCTGATTGGCAAGTGACATAGCGTCACGTATAGCATACGGTGTTACATCAATAACCAAGTTCAATTTAGCAATAACTTTGTTTTTATTGCATAAACATTTTTAAGTGATAGTTTGCGGTCAAACTTAAGTTTAGGCAGCTAATCATAAGTTTTATTATTTATACAATAATTAGACAACATAAATATTAGGTAATAAATGGAGAACTTATATTAAAGTTTATGTTTTTTTTTTAAATATTTAGTTAATAATTTTAAATTTAAGGAACTGATTCTCCTTAATACAAGCTATTTTGTAGTCTAGCAAGGAGAACAGAACGTCACCCTCACTAGTGTTTTTACCTAATTTTTATTATTTCATGTAAGATATTTTTTCTGTACGTACTACATGTTTAAAGTTTAATAAAGTTATTAAATTATATTTTTGTGTTACAGCTGTGAAAACACGGATTCATTAGACATATTTTTATATGTAGACGGAAGATTGGAAAAAATGGTATCATTTTGTGGAAATGAACTACCGAAACCAATAATGTCAAATGGACCAAAACTGTCAATGGTATTCAGAGGAATTTACTCCTCAAGGACTAGCAGTGGATTTAAAATATCTTACGCCTTTCTTGAAGGTAAAAATTAAAATATATTTATGACAAATATAAAAGTCTAAAAAACTATATATATTTATTACTAGTTTTTAATATCAAAAAAAATAACATGATGAAAAATCACCCATTTTTAAGAAATGGCTTACAATTTTAAAAAAAATGTAATTTTGTTCTTTATCTTAATCATTATCAACCCGTTAAAGTCCACTTCACTAGCGAAATTGGGATCAAAACGCCAGGCATGGCAAGCTAATGTGCAATCCAACCACCAAACATCTCACATTTTTAAGGCTTCTCCCCGTCGTTGGAATATCTACTTCACATCAGTATATGTACATTTATCGGAAGCCCTGAGAATTTTCTGGTATTTTTCGTAGTCACCTTGTACAACAACTTTAAAAGTGATTGGTATGATGGATTCTCTTACGCTGTTACCACGTTTTGTTTTCAAATTTAATATAGAACTTACTTATAACTGTTCACCATTAAATTGTTGAATCTGTTTTTTTTTTTCATAAAGATTATGCAGTCACCTCAGGAAAACAACTGAAGGAATTTCCTTGTGCTTTTGTATACAACAGTAGCGAGAGTGAAAGAGGAGTAGTGATGTCACCTAACTATCCTGGTGTTTATCCACGTGATACAGAATGCAATTACTTTTTCTACGGTAATCAAGATGAGAAGGTGCGACTACATTTCACACATTTTGATGTGGAGGGAGTAATACCGTAAGTATTTTTTCTTTACAAAAGGAAATTATTAAAATTACGTATTTATTTCTTTTTATTTTGTATTTTCATATTTCTCTTTTGTTTATTTTTACACCCCTGCAACCTCTACTAAATTATTTTTAGTGTTTCGTAACTAAAAACACGATTCGCCAAGTTCGTCCGTCCGTCCGTTCACACTATTACTCGAAACCTAAATGATATAAAGCTGTAATTTGGCATAGTTGTAGATATAAATAAAGTTGTGGAATAAAATCCTAAAAAATATTTTTATTTTGGGTACTGTTATTTTTCACAAAAAAGTGGACACAAGGAACTATAGTATTGCTATATTTTTGCCATGTCCGTTCGTCCGCAGTTTTACTCAAAGACTCTAGGTGTTACAAATATATAATTTGGCATAGTTTATAAAAAATATTAATTACGCCTATAAAACTGTGAAATAAAATCTTACAAAACATTTTTAGTTTGGGTACCACCCAAACAAGCAAATGGAGGATAATTTTATATTTTTTACCCGACTATTCCATCGTGTGGGGTATTGTTGGATAGGTCTTTCAAAAATCCTGGTGATGTGAAACAAAGTCTTTTCAATTCAAGAATGTGTAAAAACAAAAAAGATAAAAGTGGTATTTTTCATTAGAGTGATGTACCCCCTTATAAAATAAATCGCTGTTTTTGGAAATGTAAAAAGCATACACGATAGTAGTATATATAATGAAGTTAAAAGGAAAACTATCACAGCTAAGTAGAATTAAGAAGTTAACGAGTAATATTCGACCAACCTATAAAATTCACTTGGCTTAGTAAAAATCTCGTTACAACTTCATAGTAAATTACCTAAAACTAGATGCATTATAGTTTTGTAATGTTATTGTAAGCTGTTAAAAATAATCATTTTATAAAGAAAACGACTTATATACGAGTATATGTATTACTACTCCAGCTTTACTTTTTCATTTGCAGGATAGTAAGGGAAGACCTTTCTTACTTACTTACTATTTCCACATATTTTTAGTTGCTAGTTATTATCGGTCACACTCTTGGTTTACGAAGGCGACCTCAGGATAATTTAGGGCAGTGGTGGTTTACGTGAAGGTTTGTTACGGTCATCTATGTATATCTTAGGGTTGCACTGCCAGGAATATATAGACAGATAGTTAACTATGATCATCTTTGTACTTAGCATGTTAATGATTTGATGTAAATTGTATTATTTTCAAAATCTAAAAGCTTTTTTTAATCTTTTTGAATACCACTCCCTATAAGTCTGATTTTCAAATAAGTCCTTCTGTTACCATCTTCCCTTTTGGGTCCATTTTAGTCGTTATAGCGATCAAACCGCGAACTCACTTAATATGATCATTATTAAGAAAGTCCACGTATTGTGACGGGCAACTACGGAACTCTACCTCTACATTGTGCGTGGTCCAACAAGAACTTTCTCAATTTTTTTACTCGTATATTTCATCCGTGTCATTTGATAGGTGTTTCAAAAATATTACGGGTATGGAACAACATTATTTCGATTCAGGGGCTTTAAAGCTAAATATTTGCGAAATATTTAGCTTTAAAGTAGTATTTTTTATTAGAGTCACGTTTACCCTCCCCCCCCCCCCCTTCTTACTACCAAACTAAACGGCTGTTTTTGGTAATGTGAAAGTATGCACGTATATAAGTTAAAAAAGGAAACAATCACAGCTAAATGGGCTTAACAAGTTATTGAGTCGTTAATCGACCAACCTATAAAATGCAGTTAAATTAGTAAACATTTTGTTACAATTCCATAGACAATGACGTAAAAAAATGCATTATAACTTAATCATATATTTGTAAACCGTAAAAAAATAAACATTTTTTAAAGAAAATGACTTGTGTTTTACTATAACTTTACTATTTTCTTTGCGGGGTAGGCAGAGAAGATCGATCGCCAAGAGACCGATCCTGACATCCACTTTCGCATATTTTTTAGTTAGTGGTTATTGTCGGCCTAGTTTCATTCGTGGTGTCCTTGTTTTACGCAGTTGCCCCGTAAGATAGTTTAAGGCACTGGTAGTTTAGGGTAAGGTACCTTACGGTCATGTTTTTCCTAGGGTTGAACTGACGGGAACTAATAGATGGATAGAGAACTATGGCCATTTTTTTACAAACTTGGTATGTAAATAATTAAAAATTTAGTACAACCGACTTCAATATAAATTATTAAGAAGAACTTAAGGTCAGACCATGATCAAATTTATATGAGACCACATATGAAGCACCAGCTTTCAAATAAAATAAAAAGAATCATCGAAATCGGCTCACCCAGTAAAAAGTTATGAGGTAACACACATAAAAAAACATGGTCAGATTTGATGTAGAATGTATTATTTTCAAAATCGAAAAGTTTCTTAATCTTCGTTGGATACTCCTTTTGAGTCCTTCAGTTACAATCTATCGTCCTATTTGGGCCCATTTTTAGTTGTAATAGCGGTCAAACCGCGAGTTCATTATACTCATAGTATCAGTAAGGCCCATTTTTAAAACTTAAGTTCATGTATTATGACGGCCAACTACGGAACCCTACATTAGTGCGTGGCCCTACAGGAACTTGGCCAGTCTAATTTTCTTATCTTTTTAAAAATACAACCAAATTGCAGTAGCCACTTGAGTTCAATCTATGATTCATAAATAAAAATTCATTATGACTGATCATTAATTGAAAATAAAAGTATTGTAACATAGTAAAATTAAAGTTACAGCCTATTTACGAAACCACAGCCTCCTCACATTTGCGAGAGAGTTTCGGTCAAAATTGAAGAAGTGTTTGATGCGCTAGCCCAATGCATGTTGGTAGTTTTTTTTTTATAGGAGAGAGGGCAAATGAGCATGCGGCTCACCTGATGGTAAGTGACTACCGCCGCCCATGAGCAACTGCAACACCAGGGGAACCAGGTGAATTGCAGATGTATTGCTGGCCTTTTAAAAAGGAGTAGGCTCTTTTCTTGAAGGTCCCTAAGTCGTATCAGTCCGGAAATTTTGAAATAAAAAAATTAAAAAAAAAATTTCACCCATTTTGAAATAATTGTCGTTCCTCAGACATTCAGCTTTCTTTCCCTGCAGAGCACGTGGTAAATAAACTTTAAAATTAACACTAACAATTTCACGGCCGACAGAAATCAGAAATGAGAATTGCCGGCAGAAATCAAGCCGGAGTTGCTGTGCACTTTACAGCGAGCCCTTACTTAGCTCCTGAGCTACTACGGCTTTTTATATTAAACTAAAGCGACAAACAAACTAACAATCCACATGATTTTATGTGACTGCATGCTCTTTTGCCCCGTCTTTTATAAAAAAATATAAAATTGATATAAAAATAAGGTTGCTATTATTATGTTTTTTTCGTAGATGTGAAGCTGTTTCTGCAAGTGACTACGTGCAATTTTCAAATCAAATGTTAGATTCGCAAAGTCCGAGGTATTGTGGACAGTTAAAAGAATTTTATATAACGTCAGATAAAAGTTTCCTTAGAATTATTTTCAAATCGAACGATCGACTGGATGCCACGGGATTTAAAGCAAATTATATATTTTTGAGAGATACTGAAATGCATAGTATCACAATGCCGGAATATGGAGATAGCGGTAAGTTTATGAACATTTATTTAAAAGCCATAAATAAATTTAATCGTTAATAACTACATTTAGAGCCGAACAATATTTAATTAAATATTGAAAGATGTATGTAGTATAAATATTATTTTATTTATTCGACGGTATAAATTAATAATAATAATATAATGCACTATGATGCTAAATGGTATTCATGTCTTCAATTCCGCAGGATCGTTGGCCTTCAAAACCGTGTCTTGGAAGTTGAAGATTGTAACAACAATATTAATATTACTGAGTGAAAGACATTAATGATGTATCTTAATTTAGTTTTATTAAATTACTTTTGTGTTTCCTTTGTGTTTCTTTTAAAAATAACTTGAAAATTAATTTATCATTACATCAGATTAGAATTAATTTTTAGAAAAATTTTTGTTGCATGTCCAATATTCAAAATATTACGTTACAATTTTTTGTAGTTATATATTATATATTCGGTCCGAAACCGAAGGGAAGTAGAGGTTTTTAAATCGCTGCCTCCTACGTGAGAGCTGAGAGCATAGAATGACCCCACTCTAAATGCAGTGAAGACCTAAGAAGGCATGCAGTGAGTTGATGGATGAAGGTTCCCAAAGACCGAACGAGTTAAAGATAAAACTAAATGCAAGCCTATTAAAATGAAATCTTCAGTCGTCCTCAAAAAAAAAACAGACAAATTCTAAAGAATGGTGATATTCAAAAGTCGATGTACTCCATGTGGAATACATATTTAAAATACTTTACAACAAACATAATAGCTGAAGTGACAATAGGTCGGCCATATAGCTCGGAGAACCGCCATCCGATGAGGAAGAAAGGTTCTCGAGTGGCAGCAGTGTACCGGTAAACAAAGTGTGAAGTGAACCTACTACCTATGAAGGCTGCCTCCCACTAGATGGAGTAAGCCCTATGTTCGGCGGTGGACTTGTGAAGGGCTGTAATAATAATAATGATGACGGTGTGTATACTGTTTTAAATGGTTTGAAGTAGTAAGTTAAAACTATACGAGATAAAATGCGTAATGAATTTAATTGAAAATTCCCTACCAACATAACATTTTAGTGTTCCTGCTCTACAACTGTACAGATGTTGTTAACAGACTAAACAGTAAATAAAAGATATCTGATCTCGATCTTCAATTTTATTTGGTTTACCAAATATCGATAAACATGCTAATATTTATCAAAATGGACATAGATATTATACAAGACGTAAGTATTTAACGTATACAACAAGGTATAAAATCAAAAAAAAAATATGTATAAATATTAAAACACACAATGGGGTTTTAGAAATACTTTTTACGCAGAAATTTTTTAATATATATATATATATATATATTTAATGTATAATATATTATATTACCCTGAAACCA